GAGTTTGAATTGGTATTTTTGTGATATTTTTGTCTTTTTTTAATAATAACAGTTTATATCGTCTCAAAATGCAACTATTAAATGGTGAGACATTTTAAATCTTTTGATATATTATTATAAAGAACTAGCATTTTAGATTTTCTAATATTTTTAGCATTCTACTTCATATTATTGCATAAACCATAGTAAATGCTTGTTTCTATTATTCTATTATCCAATTATATAGCTTTTTTTCTGTTTTAGGAAAAAAAAACACTTTAATCAGCTCAAATTCACCTGCTAATTTTATTTATCTTTAGTTGATCAGTTCTTACTTATCTTTATTTAATGTTGAACCATGCTAGCATTAAGTTCAAAATAAGAAGTACTTTATTTGTTTCATATTTTTTGCATATTCTACTACTTCACTTTTTGAGAAAGAAAATACAAAGTTCATTTTTATGTTGCAACTTTTTAACCTTTTTTTAACTTATTTTTTTATTTATGTTGAGACTGTTTTTTGTAACATTTTTTATAAATGAAAAAAATTACATAAAGATTAATTATAATTCACATATTATGTAATAATGATCAATAAAATTAAAATAATAATACAAAAATCATATGATAAGATAATCATTAATAAAATAATTATGAAAGTAATCATTTAATTTTATTTAAGATTTTTAAAATAGCAATTTTGTTAATATCTGAAATTAAGCATTCTTATAATAAAAAAGCATGCTTAATTTTAAAGGAATATGTTAATTCTAATAAATTAAAAGCAATAAAACAAATTTTAAGAGAAGACTTAAGAAATAATCAAGAAAATTTCTAAAATCTTTTAAATAAATAAATTGAAGTTTCTCAATTAGAAAACCATTTAGAAAGTTTAGAAAATGAAATAAATGGCTTATTCATAATCCATCAAGAAAGAATTAATTTCTTTTAAGTAAGAAACTTTATCAAGTTCAGAAGGTGATACTAAAGAAAAGATTTATATGATTGATTATTTGATATCGCATCAATCATTTCATTTATATTAGCTGATCAACATTAATATTTTATGCTAATCATGTTAATTTTACTTGATATTTTTTTTGGAAAGGTCTCATATAAATATTTTGAATAGTATAAGATATAAATAAGTAAAAATTTGAATATATGACTTATTTATTAAATCTTTAAACATAATAATTAAATAAAAAATAAAAACAAAATGTATAATATACTACAGTATTTTTTTTGTTAAGGGTAGAAATTTTTTTATGAAAAAAAGGAAGGTTGACTGATACAAAATAAATATTTGTTTATAGATATATTTGATAAATTTGTGTTGGCAGTAGTGATACCTGACGAAATTACCTTTTTTAATATGATGAAATTGACAAAACTGAAATAATAAAACTAGTTTTTTATTAATGATGAAACTATTTTACTTAATTGCCAAATTATATTTAATTTGATTTGAATTTCTTGTATTAAAATACATTAAAAAATAAAATAATTTTATATTTATTCATATAAAATATTAAAAGAAAAATTCTTTTAATAAAATTACAATTTTTCAAAAGTGTTTAGACAAGTATTACTAGTTAAACTATTTAATGATTGGTCAACCTTATATACTAGTCATGTAAATATATTTATAAAGGATATTCCAATATATTTGAAACTTAAAATTTCATACATGTGTAAAATATAAAGAGTGTACACTTAACTCTAAATCCCAAGCTTGAAACTAAACCATAGTGTGTATAAATAGAGGAAATGTACTTATAGAGGATGTATTTATAGAAATGATATTATATAAGAGATATTGGATCTAATTTTATTGGCTATATTATATAAATTTAATTATTTTTTTTTAAAAGCTTATAGCTCATCAACAATAAATGCTAGAAATATAATTTTATATTTTTTTAAATCCTTAAATCTTAATGCATATTCAATAAAAATTTAAAGTATAATTATTAATACCAATTTTGTACAATCCTGCTACAAAATTGATAGCAATTTAATAATCTGCAAAATATAGGTAATATAAGAAATTATGCTTTTAAAAGTCTGGTCTTTTAGATATATTGAAAATAATATAATTTTTTAATAATATAGATACAGATCTATAGCTAACTTCTTAAACATAAAAAAGAGCCAAAAAAAAAAATAGATAACAACTTAATCATAAAGATTATTGTAAAGTATGAATATAAACTCAAATAAAAAAAGATTACAATCTATCATAATTAGCCCATATGGGTCAATTAAAATCTTGATTTTGATAAGAATTTGATTTTCTTAGATCACAACCCATATATTTCAGCGTGGCTAATTTTAAAATAAAAATGAAAAGAGAGAAAAATAAAAAATGGAAACAAAAAGAAATAGATATTAATAATGCACATTGTCGATCCTATCATGAAAAAATCTGCGATAGGAAGATTTTGTATTTTAGAAATAAGAAACGGCATACTTGTAGAACGAATTCGAGATAATAGATTTTGCAACTTATATTCGTTTCAGAGGTATTTCCTCTTTAGAACATTTAATTTATAGTAAAGAATATTTAAAAATTCTCTCTTAAAATTATATATTCAAGCAAGCCTGTCATAAAAAAATGTCCGATATCAAAAAACGTCTTGTATTCTCAATTCTGCAGTTTTTGCAACAGTCAATTAAGGACGGGACTATTCAAGAAGAGGACACGGAAGGGGTTGAAGTAGCAGGTACAACTTCACTTTGAATGGTTGCCATTCTCGCATTGATCCACAAATTTTCTCACTTTTTTTTTTTTTTTTTTTAATATAAAGTACAATGCATTGGTGAAGCTTTTGGCGTTAATATCGAAGATCCTGAACAACTATCTGCATACGCGACAAAAGCACCTTTACAATCAATTTTTGAAGTTGCAGTCAAAGCTCAAGAGAGGATAAAGGTTCTAATTTTTAAATATTCTATAATTGACTCCTAAATTTGCAATTTTATTTGAAATCATTTATGAATTGAATATTACAGCCAGCAACAAGATCGGCACCTTCTCAGCCCGGTATGAATTGAACTTTATATTTTTTTAAGCTTATCGTTCTTTGAATAATTTTAATAATTCATCCTTCTCGTTATTAAATTATAGCTGTAGCAGAAACCAAAGTAATTATAAGTTATAAACTTTTTTTTCAATTGAATATCTGTTAATATGAATTTTCTATTCATCAAAATTTTATTTCTAAATATCAAATTAATTTTCAGGCAAAGCTTACTGATGAACAAAAGAATAGAGCGGAAGAATTAAAATCGGAGGGTAGGTTGATATTTTGGAAATGTTTATGACTTCATACTAATATAAACAATGATTGATTTATAGGTAACCGCAAAGTTTCCGAAAAAGATTTTCAATCAGCTGTAAAATTATATAGTGAAGCCATTGAAATTAATGGAAATAACGCTGTATATTATTCAAATAGGTACTTTGTTAGATTATAATTTTATTATTAAAAATTGTATTTGTTTTTTATCTAATTGTACGAATACATACATAAATTATGTGTAGAGCTGCTGCATACAGTCAATTAGGTCAACATCATAAGGCAATCGAAGATGCCATAAAATCATCACAGATAGATCCATCTTATAGCAAAGCGTACGGCAGGCTTGGGTAAGTGAATAAGCAATAATTAAATTGATTTTCAATTACATGGAGAAAGCGAATCTAACATTTATTGTTTAAAGGCATGCTTATTTCTCTGTAGAGCAATATAAAGATGCGGTCGAAGCATACGAAAAAGGACTTTCACTTGATCCTAATAATCCTACAATGAAATCAGCTCTTGCTACCGCTGAACAAAAAGCAAGTGAGCTCAGGACTGATCAAGGACCATCACGGGGTGCCTCACATGATAGAAGCACCCGAGGAAATGGTGCTGGTGCGGGTGGTGGATTAGGTGGGCTTGGAGGTCTCGCCGGGCTTGCCAATCTTGCCGGTGCCGGTGGTGGTGGTGCTGGTGGTGCTGGTGGCTTTGATCTTGCATCTTTAATGAATAATCCAGCAATGATGAATATGGCTCGTCAAATGATGCAGTCTGGAGCGCTCAGTGATATAATGAATAATCCAAACGTTGCCGAGATGTAATATATCTTAAAAAGAAATCATCAATAATTATATGATTTGTAAGATAATTAATAAATATACTTTTTTTATACTATCTAGGGCGCAAAATATAATGCGAGGAGGTAACCCACCGAACATGGACGAGATGATGAATGATCCTAATCTAGCGAATTTGTATGCATTTAATTTCTGCTGTGATTTTTTTTTAAATATTACTATATTAATATTAAATTTTATTCGTTAATAATAGAGCACGTCAGTTTTCTGCTAATCAAGGTGGTGGTGGTGGTGAGGATGATCCAGAAAATAATGAAGTTAATGGAGGAACAAAATAGAAAAGACCTTTTTTATCAAATGGGTTTTTTTCAATGCCGATCATATGAAATATATATACATATTTTTAATTCTCGACATTTTTCACTTTTTCTATATCACATTTACATTCATTTCCATTTTTAAATTATAAAAACAAGAGCGACATCTTTTATAGACTACCTTAATGATGGTAAATTCGGTAACATTTGATATCGATATTGGGTTGCAAATGTTAAAGTAATATTTATTCTTTTATGGTCATGCTTATTTTCTTCTTTGCAAAAGCAATCATTTAATGAACTTCTTGTGATTGCAGAAGTTGTACAGTATATTTTTGGAGGCTTGCTGTATCTTTCTTTACATAATTTATTTTGATATATTTAAAATATTTATATTCATGATATATCATTTTGATTTAGATGTATGTGTTGATGTTGCATGCATGTACATGCATAAACTTTCAAAATAAAATAATTTAAGTAAAACCAAAAAAAAATAATTTATTTATAATACAGTATATAAAATTTTCAAACAGCAATTCAGCTATTTTAATAAATAATATTGTAATTTTTTTTTTAAATCATTAAAAAAGTAAACGAATTTAAATATAACGCAATTGACTAGAGGTGAAATGAGGAGGAGACCATTGAAGACAACTTTCATCAATTCTTCTATTCTTATGCTTCTCTTTAGTTTTATGATAAGAAGCGATAACACCATCACTTAAACAAATAATTTGTTGACCTTTATAAGGTTTAATGGCACCTAGAGATTGAAGGGTTTGAAGAATATCAGTAGTAGCAATACTAGTCCTAGCCGATATATCTTCAATTGTAATGTCCTCGTTAATTTCTTTTGTTTCCAATAATAATTCAACGATAACTTCGGTCCAATAACTTCTATATGATAATAAACCAAGATCGGAAAGGGGTTTCTCAGGAGATCCAACCTTTCCCTCTTTTTTAGAAAGTTCATAAGAAAAAGCTATTAATAACCTTCCAAACCCTTTCCTTTGATGTTGTGGTAAAGTAAGGATACAAGCAAGATTATATCCTTCAGTACTTTCTTTTTCTTTTGAAAAATAACCAATCATATGACATCCAAATTCATCTTGTTGACACATAATATAAAATAAAAATGGGTCAACATCATAATAAAGTGTTTTATGATCAAGAAATAATTTTGACAATAAACAAAGATTTCTACAATAATTTTTCTGTTTATTACCATCAATTTCAAAAAATGAAATATCATCACATCTATAAATTTCATTCCCTGGTGGATGTCTCACTGTACATTTTTGTAAATGTCTCCTCAATTGTTTTTCACTAATATAATGAAATAAACAAAATTCACATATGTATACAACTGCCGCATCACTATACTCTTGTGGATAAGGTGAAAAGTACCAAGTATCAACATCATATTCCCCAAAATGAATCCTTTCTAAATTCTTTACCCTAGAAATTTCTGAATGTGATTGCGTCATGGATCCTGATGTACGAAGTCTTTCAATTTCTTGTTCTTTAGAAAATGTGGCCGCTAAAGGTCCTAAAGGAGTTCCGTTTCCTGGTGTACTACCATCTTCATAATCATCCGTATTGTCAGCTAAAGGTGTTGATGGTGTTGTTGCTCTAGCATTGGGTGTTGGAGTATCTTCTAATGCCGAAATTTTCCTCTTTTGTCCAACTGAAGCTCCTACCCCCCCACTTCGACCAGTAATTTCTCTAAGCGGTGAACCAACTCTTGATGGTGTATCGGAATCTCTATATTGATTACCACCACCTTTACCATTCCTTTTTTTAGCCGGTCTTTCAATTTCTCTTAATAAATCAATTCTTTCAAGACCAACCCATTCATCCAATCTCTTATTAAACTCGACAAAGTGTACATAATATTCTGATTTATCATTATGTGATCGAATTGATAAAATTTCTGCTTTACGAAATTCTTGTATGTCATTCTTTTCTTTTTTTAACTCTACAAAAACTTTATAACCAACATCTAAATGTAAAGTCGTTGTGCTCGCGTGATGATTATGTATAGGTGTTCCAGGTCTTGGAGAGGGTGAGGCTGAAAATCTTTGAGTCATCTTTAATTTGTTAATAAATAGTAGAATTACAATCTTTAAAATTACAATTATTTTCTTCCAACTACGAACTACGCCATCGTTTGTTACCTAATATTCTTCGTCATACAACGTGTAAAAACGATCTTTCAATCATATGACCCGTCTAATGTCTGACCATGATTGCGTTTGCGTCTATGGCCCATGACGTCCCATACGAACAAAGTCAATAAAATGCGTTTTAGATTCTTAATCTTATTCATTTTCAAGACATTAAATAATCATTTACAAAATACGTAAGATCATCGCAAGGATAATTATTTATTTATTATTAAAGTATTATTTACAAATTAGTGCAAAAGGTTAATACTTTTTTAAAGAAAATTTTTTTAAATTGTGCAGAAAATTTTTTTCCGTAAAATGTAATTATTTTCATTCAATAGGTTCCAATTTGGGAGTTTTTGGTCGTTCTTCTTCGGGTAAATCAGGACTGTTGGCGTCGGTGGACTTACGTTTTACTCCAGAAGCTGATGATGATGATGAAATTGATGGGAGAATATCAGGAATATCTTGAGCGACTGGATCACTGGCTCGCAATTTTTTGGTTGGAGACTGATCATCAACTGCAGCATCCTTATCATCCCCATCGGACTTTCTTTTTTGATCATTGGATTCAGTAGATCTTTTTTCTGTATTTCGGCCGTTTTTTCGATGATTAAATCGGCGTCCTTTTTTACCTCGGGCGTTTTGGTTGGTTGTGTTGTTGGTGGTATTTTTGTTTTTCTCCTCTGGAATAATACCATATTCAGCTTTAAGTGCATTGCCTTGTTTGACTCTTTCGATTCTATCACTCCTTTTTTTCCGATAATATTCTTTTTCTTCTTCATCTAGTAATTTTAAAAAATTTATATTAGTATTCATTTAAAATCGACTATATTAAAGATATTGTTAGCTAACCTTTGAGAACTCTGAGTTTAGGTTGAACATTATCAAATCTCAATTTTTCAAATGAAGGAGACTCGATAACTTCATGGGCAATAGGTTTTTCAAATTGGATAACCCCGGATAAAGTTTGTGGATCGTATTGTACAAATATAACTTCACCAAAATCATTATGCATTTGCGTCTATATTATTGTAATAAAAATATTAGTGATAATCATTACATTTAACGTTTAATAAAAAAATATTCTACGTCAATTTACACATACCCGAATGGTCGAGTAAGTTGAATTTGGACCAGCACCTTCGAAATGTAGCAAACAACCAGAGGCCATTTTAGTATGAGGACGCTTCTCTTTCTTGACTGTAGGTTTCTGTAATCGCATGGTGTTGGGATCAAGGCCCTTCTCAATGCATTTCATTTCACAGTAATCAAATCTATTTATTAAAGAATATTAATGTTGACGTAAAAGTATATGACCAGAATACATCCATATTGGAAAGTAGCTTACTTCATCATAATATGAAGCTTTGCATCCTTATATGATAAAATCATTTCCGATACTTTCTTTGCCTCTTCATGTGAGACGAATTGGACAAAAAAAGAATCCTGGGATAAAAAAAAAATTAGGTATCATACAAATATAAGGTTGTTATTCACCAAAAAAAATGTTACCTTGTAAGTGCCATCATCTTTTCTTCTCGCAAAAGATTTTTCAACTTTACTAAATTGTGAAAAGAACGATGCAACTTCTTTCTCATAGTTAGAATCGATCTCTTCTTTATTAAAACCTTTCTATAGGATAAAAAAATAAATGAACATTAAATAGATGCGAGAATGCCATAGTAAAAAGTTTCATAAAACTTACCACGTAAATCGATCTCCAAATTGTAGAATCTTTGATATGTTGTGGGATGTCAATCATGACGGGAGTCTTTCGTCTGACGTGTTCCCCTTTCTCATCAACCTCAAGCAAATTTGGTGATTCTCTTAATGTTTCAACGATCAAGTTATAATCTTTGTAGACTTGCATTTTTTTGAACTTGCAGATCATTTTCAATGGAATCCCTGTTTCAAAAAAGACGAATGAATTTTGTTACAAAAAAAAAAAAGAAAGAAATAACGATATATCATTCATAATTGTCAAAAGAATAATAACATAAACTTACATCCTTTGGGGTTCTTTGATCTTACTTCATTTAAAAATCTATCCTTTGGCAAATTCATATCACTAAAATAATATTCTACTTGTCTCAATATTTTTTTCTTTTCTTCCTCAATCTGATCCGGAGTAAGTGGGATTTTCGTATCTTCGTCCGATAATGATTCTGTCATTCCTTATTTAAACAACAAAATATAATTAAAAAAATTAGGATAGCATTTATGATGGATTCTCTATATCGCAAGAAACATATTATGCAACTTTGTACGCGTTTATTAGTTATTAGCGAGTAATAAAAAGGCATTGAAACGCTTCATTAGTAAGAATGAGGTATGTGAATTTTAGCATTACCTATATCGGGTGCAGAACTAGATGAGGCTGTAGGGGTTATATTTTCTTCGGTTTTTACGACAACTAAAAAGTAACGGAAAGAACCGATAAGTAACGTTTATGTATAATAAATGATTGCTAAAGATAGTTTATTTTATCAACCTAATAACTCTGAAGGTTCTGTTTTCACTACCGGAGTATTAGAGATTTGAGTTTGTTCAGAGGTTTGTCCTTTTGAAGAAGCCATGGTTTTTAATTTTTTTTTTTAAAAAAAAATATTATTATTGAAAATCACGAAAATTAAATTTTTTTTTTTCGTGAAGGGAAGATCTATTTATATAATATCTGCAAATTACTTCGCCTAATGAATTCGTGTAAAAAAATTTGAGATCATGTGATCATGCTTTAGTGCGTTGATTATCTAGAAAAAAATTTCTAGGGTTCAATAAATATGATGAGAATCTTAATCAATTTTCGTTCAAACCATTTTAAAAAACGAAATATTCCCCCGTTTATTTATAATTTTTTTCACAATTCTTCGTTATCAACCTCATCAAAATATTACGATTTAACTCACCTTCAAACTTCTAGTATAATACCTAAATTTTCTTTATCAGATTTCATCCTATTACCAAACCACTTTACATTACAAGAACAAACATTTTTATCAACTCATTCTTTAACAAAATTAAAAAGAATTTTTGGTAAAAGAACTATATATCAATCTTCTCACTTTGATCATATTATACATAATTATAGAGAATGTCAAGTAACTAATTGGACGACTGGTGATAATGAAATTGAACGAGAAATTAATAATTTATTAATTCAAAAAGTTTATAACTTATTTCCTAAAGAGATTAATTGGCTACCTATACATATTTTAGAATTAGCCGAATCGATTGGTGGGATAAAACCTCATGTTGATAATGTTGAAGTAATTCAATTGATTTTTTATTATTTATTTGTTTGTTTGTTTTAATTAATTATTGTTCTTAACGAAAACTTTTATAATAAGTATTCCGGTAATATTGTGGCAGGGATTTGTTTAATTTCTCCTACTGTAATGATATTAAGACACGTAAATAATCCTGAATGCAAATTTTCTGTTTTGTTAGAACCTGGTTGTCTTTACATTCAAAGGTAATTTAATTATGTAACATTTTAAAATTATTTTGTCTTTTCTAATCATGTTATTTTGTATAACAGAGATACCGTTAGATATAATTTCACCCATGAAATTCCTATTGATCCCGAACAACACAAATTTAAAAGTAATTTAATCCCAAAAGGACAGAGAATTTCTCTAATGTTTAGGGTATGTAATAAATAATTATGGTTTTCAATTTTCAATTTTATTTATTTTTATTAATATTTATTTTATTGATAAGAATGTCAAATAATTTACATTTCTTACACATTTCGATTTTTTTGAAAAGCGTACAAAACAACAAATAAATAATAAATAAACTAATATATATATATATATCTTTCTATTCTACATAAATAAAAGTACAAAATTCAAAGAACAGATAGGCTAGGAAAAAGTATGAGCAAATATATATATATATATATAAGATTTGTCCATATTAAAGAGAATTTTTTTTGAGTGGAGGAAAGTATAAAGTAGGGGAAATTAAATAAATGTTCATGAAGTTACAAAGCATTCATCCGGATATTGCCAATTCTGTAATTAATTTCGTACATACATCAAAAAATGGATACATTGATGTAACTTCTTTTCCATTGGTCCTTTGTTGATGAAGAATTTTTACAGTTGTTGAGGAAATTGGAGGTGCGGAAAATGGTTTATTATTAGTTTCAAACTTGTGTGAATAATGGCTGTCTTGTTGATTGGATGATAATGATGATGAAGCATCTGATTCTGATGTAAGAGGTGAGGGTGAAGGTGATGAAAACGACGACGATGTAGAATCGGTAGTGTTAGATAACTCATATCCAACATTTTTAAAATCAACAAGATAGTTATTGATGTCAAGTCTATAAAGTTGTAAATCTATCTTGACCTGATATTTTGAAATAAAGAAAAAAGTAAATTAGAATATTAATGATAACTATAATTATTACCATTCTTGCTATTTTGAAATAAATTTTTATACTTGCTCGTAAACCGCTAGAATAATTATATTTACAACGAACATGGAAAGGATCCATGGTCTTCCATTCCTATTAACAACATTTAGTAAATCTCTTCTCAATAATATAGAATTATATTGATTGCAGAAATATTGATATATTACCATTCCTAAATTTTTTAGAGCACGATAAATCTCAAGCATGACTTCTAGAGGAGGACTTCGCGAACGAATTCCAAAATGCCATTTCGATCTGGATTTCTTTCTTAAAGTCGGTGTTTTTGGCATTTTAGCACAATTAACATTACCTATTACAGAAAATACGAGGATCTTTAAATATAATTTTCATTAAGAAAGAGGTAAAATTTTGTATTTATTTACCTCTGATATATTCTTCATTAGGAGGCAGACTAGAATTTAATACTGAAATACTAGAAGGAGCTTCACCAACTTCCTCACTCATCAGTTCTTTTTCCTTCGTATTCTTAATTAAAAAAGAAATAATTGATTTATTTAAGAAGATTTATAGTAATAATGTGTAATATTAAATTACCTGAGGTGAAATCCATGAAGGAGGCGACGTTGATAGAAAACTTTGGAAATTTTTCTGTTCAGATATTCTTCCAGCAAAAATCATACGCTTATGATCCACCACAAGTTGGTATGCCACTTTGATTTGATTGTTTTCTGACTCTTGTAATGCCTGATATATAGTATTCCTACTAAATCCCATTTTCTAATTAAAATATAAATTCGTCAATCTTATTTTCTAAATGAAAATATAATCTCGCAGAAAATTAAGTGTATAAATGAAACCTTATGAAGTTCTGTCACAATATTATTATCTATTTCAGCAAATGGATCCTCTTCACTTTCAGGAAGAGGTTTAAGATAATCAGGTAACCCAATATTAAACCATGGATTTTGTCTAAATGGGGAATAAATTTATTAATTAATAATTCAGATGTAATATAAAATACAAATTATAATTTCTATCTACCTGATATCATGAATAGTTATTCTTTTTATTGGATCAACGACGAGCATCGAAGACAAAAGATATTTGGCCTCGGGTGATAAAAACGATGGTAACGTATAAATACCACCTAATATTCCGAATGGATTATGTTACAATTTAAATTGACCTACCAGAATTCATTGAAACAAAAATAATTAACATACCGTTAATTTTTTTGAATAATGTTGGAATATATTCATCATCGAATGGCAGACGCCCGCAAAGCATAACATACAAAATGACACCGCAGCTCCATACATCAACTTCGGGTCCTGCATACAACCTTCCAGAAATGACTTCTGGTGCCGCGTAATTTGGACTCCCGCAGCTCGTTTTCAAAAATTCTCCATCGGTCATTATATTTGATAATCCAAAATCCGCGATTTTTACATTTTGATAAGGATCCAAAAGAAGACTTTTCGAGATATATGAAGGAAAAAAAAAATTAGTTCGTGTTTATAAGAATTTTTTTACAAAGATTTTAAAAATATATATTTACTTTTCAGGTTTTAAATCTCGGTGTGCAATCTTGTGTCGATGACAATATTCAACAGCACAAATAATTTGCTGAAAGAATCTTCGAGAATCATCTTCTGACATCTAGAAAGTGAAATAAATGGTCTAATTCAGCAAAAAATGAGAATTATTAATATTAAAATATAATTTCTTTGAAAAAAATTACCTTGCCTTTTTCAACAATAAAATTGAATAACTCGCCTCCAGCATACTCCATTACCATAATAATGTCAGTTGGTGTTGTAATAACTTCATATCTGAAATCAAAGAGTGTATGAATCTGGTTAATTGATTGATTTATCAAACAATTAACAATAAACCAACAACAGTCTGGCACATAGTTTATAAATTATTTACAATTTTATTATATGAGGGTGTCGAAGCAACTTAAGGTACTGAATTTCGCGTTTCACCCTTCCAACCATGTCCAAATTTGCGATTTTCTTCCTATTGATAAATTTCATGGCTACCTTATGACCAGTTATGGAGTGAACGGCCACTTTAGATTCGGGAAAAAATAAATCAGATCAAAAATTCAAAGATTGTAAAACTTTCGTTAGATGTAACGAATAAAAAATAAATTACTTTTAACTTTTCCAAAGGAGCCCACCCCAAGAGTTTGCAAAACATTATATTGACCAATTCTAATCTTATTAGAAGCCATTTAAAAAAAAAAATTTGACACAAATTATCAGTTATAAAGCGCGAAAATAAGGTTAAAACGCCCAACGTAATATTATTACCTTATTTGTTACAATTTTACAGTTAACATGTGATAGCCAAATATTTCAATTGTTTTATTTCTCATACTTTTTTCTAATGTCTTTTCGGTTCAATTTTTCGGTACTTTCTTTTTATCGTTCGTTTTAAATAATTTTATCCGGACATTATCTATAATATTCCTTATTTCACCAAATTGATAGTCAAAAGAACATCAGCTTCCAGAAAACGAGGAATCAACGAATCAAGGTTTCTTGGAGGACAGCTTAAACGAGTCCTTAAGGATCGATAAACATCCTGGTTTTAAGCCATTTATTTCTCCTAACGAATTAATTCTTAATAATCTGGTAAATCATTGAAAGATAGAAAGGATTTTTAAAATAATAAATAATAATTCTTTTTATTTTACCTCTTAAATTAGAACTATATACTTCCTCCAATTTTGATCGTTGAACGCATTTTCTTTTCTACCTACGAACAATCAATCCTTTATAAAAGGCATCTTTCTGATGTCAAGTTTCAGATAGCACAAGAAGATGATTTATTAGAAACGCGTGAAAATGGAAATACCAAGATTTTGGTATTATCAACAGACAATGATGTAGTTCAAGGAGTTTATGAAGGTATTCAAATATTAACTGAAAGATATATATTTGATTTGGATTACTGATCATGAAAATTTTAAATTGTAGGTGGATTAAAAACTTGGGAGGGTGCATTCGACCTTCTTGAATTTCTTGCAAAAAATACAAATAATTTTGAATTTGAAGGAAAGAAAATTTTAGAGGTTTGGATCAATTGATCTTTGTTCATTTTAATATTTAAAAAAAAAATCAATATGAATCTAACCTACTGGAAAATTGGTAAGCTTGGCTGCGGATCTTCGCTCCCAGGCATATATATACTTACTACCAAAAGTCCACTTAGAGTAGATTTCCAGGATTACAATGAACAAGTGATAAAATTAGTCACAATTCCAAACATCTTGCTCAATACTATATTATGTCCAAAAAACGAACAAGATTTTTCTAATGACACTGCAGAAATATACGTTTCGGAAGATGTCAATCCATTAGATCAATTGAAGAAAAGTAGGTTCTTCATAGGAGACTGGAGTGGGCTGACTGTAAGGATTTTTGTCATTATTATAATTTGGATTTAATTTTTTTTTTATTGTTTTGACACAATATTAAATTTATTCATTTAGGATATTATGAATTTGAAATCTGAACAAGAAAAGTATGATCTGATCTTAACTTCAGAAACAATATACAATGCAGATTCAATACCAAAACTATATGATGTAATTAAGCACTCTTTAAGGCGACCGAGTGGCATAGCGTATCCTTTTCTTGTAAAATTATTATTTTTTTTTTTTTGCCAATTACTTTATATAAATTTCTTAGTGTAAGTAAACTTAGATTAATTGCAGCAAAATCGATTTATTTTGGCGTTGGTGGTGGTGTATTTCCATTTTATCAATTAGTAGAACAGGACAGAGTTTTTGAAATCAAGACCGTTTACACTGTGGAAGCACACGTAAAAAGAGAGATTCTAATGCTAACCTTTTTGGATTCTTTTTCAAGTTAAAAATATTAAAATATCTTAGTTTATTGCATAAAATGAAGACTATAATATTATAATAAAGTATGTGAAGTAACAATTTCTATATCTGACATAAGTTGATGAAATTTTTCTTGCGCACTATTTATTATTTTTTTGCGTGTAACATTTAAAAAAAAAAAATACAAAGTAATTTTGTGCACGCGTTTCAAAAACACTATTTATATATGGAATTACAGATGAGTATCAACAAGAAAATATCAATTTACCAGATAAATTTTGCGTATCGACTAAAATGTGAACTATTTCCATAATAAGTGTCAGAAAATGAAGATCATGAAGATCTTTGAATCCCACAATTTCACATTTTTTTAAAATGTGAACAGAACCTATCCATACAGTGGCGCTCAAAAGATTTGCATCACCGAGACAAAAAATTAGAAATGTTAATATAATTGACTTTTTAGAACAAATATATTTAAAAATAGAAAACTGGAGCTACCTAAAAACGTCATTTAAAGTACAATATGTTATATTCAATAAATTATTGTGTTGATCTTTTTCCTAAAATAGTGAAAATCATTAAAAATATCGATCTTTTTTTTTTTTAAAATCATAGTTAAAAATTTTTTTATACCTTTTTTCACCTATATTAATTAAAATTCATAAAATTTTAAAAATGAGTCGTTTGTCCTTGGGAAAAAGAAACAGAATTATAACACTTATTGAAGAAGGATATCCTTCTCGTTTCATTGCTTCTCGTGAAGATGTTAACCAGTCTAGTGTTATTCGAATAAAACAAAAAGCAAATAAAACTGGTTCTGTAAAAGATTTGCCCAAAACAGGTCGCCCACAAATTTTTGATGATTGTAATGAACGAAATATTATCCGACTTCTTTCAACTGGAGAATGTTCTATTGTAGCAGACATCCAAAAAAAATTAAAATCTGATACAAAATTGATGTTAGCGTATGTATAGTGAAAAGGACTTCACATAGGAATGGTTTATCTTCAAGAATAAAAAGGAAAAAACCTTATCTTAAAAAAACTCATTGAAGCTTACATTTAAAATTTGTAAAAAGATATAAGGATTAGACAATTGAAGACTGGAACAAGGTTATCTGGTCAGATGAATCCAAATTCATGATTTTTGGATCTGATAGACGTCAGTATTGTTGGAAAAAGCCAGAAGAGCAACTTCTGGATCGGCATATTAAACCTACAGTAAAATTTGGAGGTGGCAATATTATAGTATGGGAATGCTTTTCTTCTTTGGTGTTGGTAACATTGTACGCATTTTTGGGAATATGAATGGAGAATTATATCGACAAATATTGAATGAAGACCTTTTGGGAACAATCCAATGGTATGGGCTTGATAAAGAAAATATTATATTTCAACAGGATAATGATCCCAAATACACAGCTAATCTAACAAAACAATGGTTGGATGAAAAAAAGATTAATATATTGGAGTGGCCACCACAATCACCTGACCTCAACCCTATTGAACATCTTTGGAATGAAATAGATAGACGTTTAAGAAAGTTTGATTATCAGGTTCATAGTCAAGATCAGCTTTGGGAAGCTATTCAAAAAATATGGGTTGATATGGATGATGATTTTTTAACCAAATTAATACAAAGTATGCCTGAACGAATCAATGATGTAATTAAAGCCAAAGGAGGGTATACACGATGATAAAGGACAATCTGGGAAATTTTTTTGATTTTTGAATCATTATTTACTTGGTAATTTCGTTTTTATTAACGAAAATTACAAAAAATTAATATCGATCATATGTAACGCATCATATAAATTGATGTAGATCTTTCTTTTTTGGGGTAATTTTTTAATAAATTAAAAATAAAGTTTATATTTGAATTCTCTTCGATTTGAAAAATGAAATGAGGCTTTTTATATAATTTTTCAAGTGTTATTTATTAAGTTATTTTGATTTAAACATTTTCGTTCAAGTGATGCAAATCTTTTGAGCGCTACTATATATTCCTTAGAGCCTTTTGTGAAGGAGATGATGTCTATAGATTGACTCTAACCCCATGTCCTCAGATAGGAGACAATGCATCAGGTAGTCTATATGTGGTAAAATCTTTTATATATAATAGCGGGTGGTGTGATAATAGAGGGGTGGTATAAAGAATTGATTTACTGGGATTTTTATTGTAGTTGAAGTTCAAAAACTTGAATGATTACTAGTCTCGCACTTGTGGATAAAATGATAGAGTATATTTATAAATGAAAGAAAAATGTTGATAAAGATCAAAACTTTGTTGATAGTATCGAAGGCAAAATTCAAAATAAAATCTTTTCGATGATGTTTAACTAAATAAATTTTAAAGGTGATGCGTCATATACTTGCAGTATCCATAGATTTATTTATTATTTGTCTTTATTTCTGCCTCCTATAAATTCAATTTACCAACTCAAAAATCCCCTAATGAGATTAATTCTGTAAAATAATGAAGTTATATAAAAATTTGTTTAAAATCTACATAAAGATATCTAGCTTTTTTTTAAATTATCTAAGCAATTCTTTATTACAATTCTCAAACACCATTGCTGATATTTATATCCATTCTTAATCACATTTTATAGGATGTCAATTGTACTGTTTTCAATTATAAAAGTCGCGAGTGTACTAGGTATAAATGGATTATTATACCTTGATTCACACAAACAATTTAAAAAACGTCTTGTATTTTCGCTCCTGTATATAAAGAAAGTGATACCAGTGAACTTTAAAAGCAAATAGCTTAAAGTAATCTAACTGTTCTTTCCATTCATAAAAGGGTGAATATACAGGAAATGAGTAAGAAAATATGCCCCAAATTTGATAGCTTCCTCTAACTGCAATTATTCATTCCCAAATTTTCCTGATATTGGTAGAATAAATCTTCCATTTTATTCTCAATCAATTGTGATTTCAAATAAACAAAGTCCTTTTTTTCTGGCCTTACGAATCACATTCTATGTTGACTCACGTTGTTAATCAACTCATAACCAATCTGTTTGTGTAATTGCTATGCAAACAATGGTATAAAATGATCCATTAAAAGGTTAGGAGGGAAAAAGTCATTTAAAGTATTGTAAAGATTTTGCACCTTTTAGCCAAGTGTGAATTAGGAGGTCCTTTTAATAGGCTTTGTACAACTGTAATAGAGAGGCTTATATACCCTATAAGAAATCGAAATAAGGAAATAATACGTTTTTTATAAGGTTTGTATACGTAATTAATAATTCTATATCAAAATTCCATATGTTTTATAATGATTTATTTTTTTATAATTTTTTAGAAAATTGATGTATATAGAATTATTAAGGAATTTGAAATAACGTATAATTTTATGTAAAATAAAAAAAT